GCTGTAAGGCATATGGTCAGTGCCAAAAAACTGGACCTCAAAATCCTTTATAGTTTTTTCTAATCAAAAATGTCTATTCGGAACATTAGCCTGCACAAAACCTCTATTATTCATATTAAGATCTCATATAGGCTCTGTTCAGCAACCTTGCTGTTGGCAAGTTCAAGTATAGGTGACTATTTAAGCTGCCTTTTTCCGATAGTACAAGTAGATACTCAAATTTTCATTTATATCAGATTGAATTTGCATGAAATGACCTGGGAAGTGTTTCTGCTCGTGCATTTTGCTGCTGTACATAAAGTATTATTTCATTCCATATGTCTAGTTGGCTTCAGCAAATTGGAGAGCTATAACAGACTGGATGAATGGTCTATTTTAATATAAATCACATCACAAGCGCAGCTGCTAAGCTTCCATTTTACGTGCAACTACTGAAGTGATCAGATAATGACATGATAATACATCCATAAACTATATCTACACATGCTGATGCATTAAAAACTGGCACTAAATACATTAACCTGGACTTAAAGGAGATGCCAAGGGGTGTTTGTTTATTTTGGATCCTTTAGCCTCAGCAGATCCATTACAGTTGAGCATTAATATAATGATGTTATGACCATTTTGTTTTCTAATATTTCTATATATATGATAAACATAAAAATGTACATTAAAGACTGTATTCATATTCATTTATATTTTTAAGATGAGCTAAACTGACATTTCAGAGTGTTGTTTACCACTCAGTGGTTGCGTCTGACTCATACAGTTGTCTTTGCGGGGGGTTTTCCTCAGGACAGTGAATATTTTTGAAATTGTATCTTATAACTTCTTTTTTCATAGCTCCAAAAGAAATATTTTGTTTTTATGTGAGACATTTGCTGCAATTCTGACAAGTTATGCAAAAAGAAAAAAAAATCTTAAATGCAAATTTTCAAAAAGTATTTGAATTATTAATTGAAAATAAACATCTTAAAGGCGCTCTTCTATCCAACAACTCACTAAGCTATTCCAGATGGATTCTTTAAAAAGAAAAGACCAAGAATGATTTTGTTTAGATTATATTTTTATGAACTGAAACTGCACCAGCTACAGAGTGCCTTTTAAGGAGGACTTATAAGGAATGCAAATGCTGTAAGATTCATTTTAGCTGGATTCGAGTCCTAAAAACAGAGTGAGGAAGACGTTCTGTTATTGACGTCAAACAGAACATATGGTGCTTCAAGAGACTGAACCACAGAGTTGAAGTGAAAATCTTCAGAGTTGGATATTGCAAATAGACTTTACTGTTTACTTAAAAGACAATTAGCCTGAAGGTAAAAGTTCAGTTGTTTTATTGCACTGCAATCATAATTTCTACAGTAATTTTGAATAATTTAAAATACTGGTTCTGCTGATGCTTGTTATTCAGATTAAAGTACTTTTTAGAGTGTCAATCCGTAAGCAGGTATTAAATATATTTTTAGCCCATATTTCTGCATGAAAATGTTTTTTAATGGTCTTCTCTCATCTTGTTATCTTAGATGCAATGTTTTTGTGTGGAAATTCATAATTAAAAAATAAAGTCTTGAAAACATAAGCTACTGTAGTTAATCTACACAATACTTTGCCTAGTTACTAAAATAATTTAACTTTTCAATATTTGAATTTATAGACCGACTGTATATAGATTGTATTTTCATTACTTTGTAATGCAGTTGTCCCCTCTGAAATGTGTATGTAAGATTCATTTCTGTAGTTATATCGCTAATTTATTCTCTTCAAATGGATTACCTAATGCTAGTCATTCTGTCTTATAATGCGATGAATAAACAGTTGCATGGCTCAAAAGCACAGCAATTCACAAAGACAGCAGAATAATTTCAGTAGTTCATGCAGGCTCAGTTAGAAGAATACATGCACTCATTGATATATTCATTTTGGGGTTTTAGGATGAATTTCAATGGGATTTTTTAGGGTGGTATTTGCTAAAAAAAAAATCAAATATGTGTTGAATCCACCATTTCCAAAAGCAGTGAAACACACTCTGAGCATGATGCTGCTCACCTCATGCTTGAAACATTTAGTTAGTTAGTTTCAAGTTTGTGCTACAAAATGCCCTCGTTCTGCATTTTTATTGGCTTTTCAGCAAGCTAATATCTTTCTTTTTATTTCTTTTTATCTCTTCACTTCAACTATTTATTGTTCAAAGTACATTTACCTGTTTCTATTGAAAGAGTGTGCTGCGACTATGATCTAGTTCAACACATCTCTAAATATGCAGCCATCTGCAAAGCTTTCTACCTCTTCCATTCTCACATGTTGTTTATGTTTCATCTTTCACTCATTTATCACTACTAGGAACCTAAATGCTGACAAACAGATGATTAAAGAGTAGTTCAAATGATTTAAGAGTAATTATCTGGGCATCATCAAATTAAGTCATGTTGACAGCAACTGGCTAGTATAAACTGTTGCACCTGTTTTAATTCATAGTGTGTACACGTGAGTCAGAGAGCATTATTACCAGATTTACCACATGCATTCTAAAAGACATTGTCATTTTAGTGACAATAAGGAATTATTATTGCTTTCTTCTTTGTCTTGTCTCGACTTCTGAGTGCTGCATTCAACTTCACAGTTATATTGTTGCTTTCTTTGCTTTAAATAAGGTCTATCAGTCTCTGAGATGCGTTTGATGGATTTACATGTAGATATATTTGAACTGCTGACTCAAGAGTGGAAAGAAAAGATGAAAGCTATTTTTCAAACAGATTCTTGGATAAGTAGGTATGGCATTTTTGCTGACCTTGCAGTTCATCTGCTGTTTAGTAAATCATCTGAATTGGCTGCTTGTCATGTTTAACTGTACATGGTAGTTTCATTCAACAAAGTGGCACACAAATTTTCAATATTATAAGTAAGATTTTAATTCAAAATTGACCAATGAGGGAATTGCATTTTAATCTTTGTTGCGGGTGAAGGTAAAGATCTAAGTTCAAATTAATAATTTCAACTGCTTTAAGTTTCAATTCAACGCTGAACACACTGCTGTGCTCTTGGTGCCCTACATAATTTTCTTATATGGTTGTACACTTCACATTTCTCAGTCCTTGTAATTTATTTCCAAAGTAGAATGAGTGAGACTGGTCTGCAGCCTCGCTATAATGGAATAGTGTGGTGGTTAATGGAGATGCATTGTAGGCCAAGATTTTATGCTGAAAGCACTTTATGACAACATAGAGAGATGTAGTGCTGGGCGATAGTCATTAAGCTCTCATTCAGTCCTCTTTATGCTCAGGGGCCGACTGACGTGACAGGGGAAATATTAAAGATCTTTGATGACACATGGCAAGTAGAGAGGAAAGTATAGGATTCTTAAAAGGTCCATGGATTTGCCTTGTGTTTACTTTTTAAAAATGTCATACTTCTTTTATATTTAAGTGCATGAAAGAGCAGCTGTCTTTAAGGAACTCTGATTTAGTGTATGTGAGGCATTTTTGTCTCTTGCATAAATAGCATTCATCTTTTTAGTTTTTTTTTTGAGTGGAGCTCTACAGTTATTAGAAATCCCTTTCAGACCAGTCGTAGGTTACAGTTTGAATAATCTGTTCAGAGAAATTTGGAAAAAGTTTCCATGAACAACTTGAGATGTTTTAGAAATGCACGAGTGGACCATGGGATCCACTGATCCTCCCTGACCATGGGAGGATCAGTAAGTGGCAGCTTTGTGCTTGCGCCATTTATTTGGAGAAGGGATGAGGGGGAATTGATCTGGTTCCAGCCAGGATGGGCAAAGGGCCCATGGCAACAGCTGCTATTCACAGAAAATGAGTAAGAACAATACCTGCTTCCAAGTATCTCCAGTAACACCAGAAAAAGCTGCTGGAATTGTTTTTTTTTTTTTTTTTTTTTTTTTTTTTTTTTTTTTTTTACACCGAGTTGCTAAAGGGATCTTAAGAGTCCCTTAATAAATCAGAATATGCCAAAAATACTGCTGCTAAAAGAAATTATCTCATGTTGTTTTATGATTATGTTGTGTTCATTAGCTTTTGGGGCCAAACTACAAATTAAATATTTAGTAACAAGCAAGTTGTCCATAAACTATATCTACTATATCTATAGCTAGTTTTTTTTTCAGGTTAGAAGTAGAATAACTTGAATGTGACATCATTCTCAGATCAAAGCTCCACGTTTCTTTAAAAAAATGCAGTGCAACTCCCATGGATTTGCTTCAGGCCTTTTATAGCTTTGTGCCAGGCCTGACCAGTGTCTCTGTAATCACACCGCTCTGCTTAGTTGGGAGACACTGTCTGGACATTGAATGCAGTGTACAGTGTTCCAGTGTTTCATGGGTTCTCTTCCTGGAAACTCCAAGCGGTATTCCATGGAGTACTGACCTTAACTGTATCTAGACACAGTGTCTAGATAGTCATTAAGCTCTCATTCAGTGCTCTTTATGCTCAGACACCTGAAGTGTCTGTGTCTGGGTACAGACACCTCAGGTCTTAAGTTTACCTATGATGATGTTTGAGTGTTTGGTTGGTGAACTTAGCAAGTCATCAAATCTTTTCTATTTAGCTTCTAGTTTCAGCAGGATAGTTCAGATCCAATTTGCTGAGAGTTGGTTGAGGATGAAATTTGCTCGTTAAGATTCAGGATAAAAATACGACTTAAGATTTTATGGCATTGTACACAGCATTGCTATTTTATGATTATATTTCTTCTTAATAAATTGTCCTGCAAAATAATTCAAACATGGACTATTTATCAAAAAGTAAAGATTACATTATTTAAATGCTTAGAACACTGAGAAATATTTATTCTAACTCCTCATTATAGAAATGCTTTCTCTTGAGGCAGCTCTGCTGTTTAAAGTGCTTTACCCAAAGAAACTCAGCATCTCTCTCTTTGTTTGTTTGCATTTAGGTGTATGTGTGTGTGAGATAGAGCAAGGCCACTGTTTAAGACTACCACTGTGAGTTTGTCTTTCTTCCTTACCTCTCCTCTCTCCATGCCAGGCGTTGGGCCCTGAGCTCATCTGTAACTCGGAGGATCTGGAGTGTGGCCAGAAATGCAGCCTCCACTGCCAGCACAACACTCGCCTTGACCTCAATATGCTAGCCGCAAGAAGATATCAGCAGGGCTTAGGGAAGCAAGTTGCAGCGATAATAGCGAGTCTTTAGATGTCTCACCTGCAGGTGTTCTTCTGGCTATTCAATGAGGCATACAGCCTCATTGAATAGCCTCATTGTGATTCCCTTTTCTCTTTATTCTCCATTTTTCTGTTCCATGGCTTTACTGTTGTTTTCTTCATTCTTTATGTTTACCTCAGTTATTTCTTTAATTGGTAGTGACTTTTTTATTTTTATTTTCCTCTTAGTCTTGAATGAACATAGTTCCCTACAAATAAATTACCAGTGTGGAAGAGTGAACCGTAAGATTAATTTTAGGAGGCACTTGACCCCCTTAATTTTAAGCTTTCTTTAGATGCAATTAGTGGGAAAACAAATTAGGCCATGTCTAAGCACAGCAAGGGTCCTATTGAGCTAGTTGACACTGCCAAGCTAGATACCAGGGTTTATGTAATTGGAGTTGCACTTCTTTGTAATTGGCTTACTTTTTTCTAAATTTTTCATGTGTAATAGGAAAAATGTGACATAAAGTAATTAGAAAGTGATCAGATTATTTATATATATTTTTTACAATTTTTATGCTCTAAGAAACAAATTGATTTTTCTCTATGTGTCATATTAATGGAAAATATAGATAAATTGCAGTTTAGGGATTGAAAAGAGAGATCTACCAATTATTCCTTCTTGGTTTGGTATCTGAACATATTCAGCTAGTTTATTGTCTTCATGACTGTAATTCTATGTACCACTTTCACACATTAGTGGTCACTGCAGTGAAAAACTGTTTTCCTGTATAGGTGTGAGTGTTAATAGTATAACGTGGATATGAGGTTTTCCATGTCTACTGGAGAGAAAATCTGAGTTTACAAGACTGTTACAAATTTAATGACTCAATGCAACTGAATGGTCGCTCTGGCAACATGCTTGTTCAGGAGGAGGGATTGCTGCAAAGTCTGTGACTTCATGCAGTCAGTTGTGATTCTTATATATATACTTATATATATATAGGCAAGTTCTCCACAATGTGTCCTGCTATGGTCATTCCCTCACATCTCACAGAAAAAGACTTTGCCCTATGGGAAGTAAAAAAAAAAAAAATCTGGAAGCAATATGCACTTCTTCATAGATGGCACCTTCAAGCACATTGAAGTTACCCATTTCATGAATACTGATGCACCCCCTTACTACGAATGCTGTACTTTTACAGCCTTCATAAATATTAAAGAGCTTTATCGTTGTCTTTTCTAGGTAGAATTGTATTCCTGCTTTTCTTAAAGTCTTACAAAAATACATACTCATTCATCCATCAAACAAATCCAACTGTTTTCTTGTCTGGTTAGGATGAGATTATGAAAACTTGGCTCAGATATTGGTCCTTGTCGTGTAACACAGCCTAAGGTTGCATTTCCATATGAAGTGACACTCTTGAGTGACAACGTTTTTCTGAAGCTCTATTGACATCCTCTTCCTGCTGCCAGTCCACTTCATCAACAGCTGACTTTTTGACCTTTAAGGAGTAAAATGCTCCCCACATTCTGGAGTGTTTTCACTGTATTTTTCACTATGCAACTATGCCTACGAATTCACAATCAAAGAACTGTTGTTAGGGGAGATTTTTCATATAACACAAAACAAAACAATGCAAACAAAGTCAAAATGATTCAGATTTAAGCAAAGGTTCAAACAACTGAAAAAGTTAGAAAAGCTAACTTCTGACAAACACTAACACTGAAACCCAAAGCCTTACCTGACACATTTGGTGATGCATTTTTGCCTTATCAGCCAAGAATTAAGGCGATGATAATCTTCATATCCCTTTGCCATCATCAGGAAGTGCATTCCAAGTGGCGAAATATATTATTGACAAGCAATTTAAAATATTGCATAAAAGCAGTTAGTGTAACTGTAATATGGCACAAACTGACACTGTGGTGGCATGTATAGTCTGATAAACTGTGAATAGTTGTTACACTATTGACCTAAGCTGCAAAAAATGCCATCAGCACAAAATCCCCTAACTTATTTTCTTCCAGTCTTTAAAAGTCCACCTAGAATAAAACAATAAGAAAAAGCTCAGTCACGTATGTCTCCATTTTGTACACGTTGAGATCACACATTAGTGACAATCTTTCCTATCAAAGGCATAAACAAGCTGGGCAAACATCAAATTCACAGCCAGTGGGAGATGCATAAAAAAGGAGAATTGAATATTTGCCTCTTCAGAGAACGTGATAAACATAAAAGGGGAGAGCTGCGAGTGTGTCTGACATTTCCAGTGCTGGTATTTTGCTGCGTGAGACCTAGAGGGAGTGGAATTGAAGAAGCCTACCATCGCTCTTTAACATTTGTTTGGGTTATGTTTGCACTGACTGTCTGCACCAATATAGCTTGTAGGGGTTGAAAACTTGTCATAAAGTTACTTGGAAAACCACAGGGAATACAAAACACAGAACAAGTGACTGGAGAATAAGTTCAAAGGTCCAAGGACTTGATAGAAAAAATGACATTTTTGTGTCATTGTGAAGCTGCTGAAAGATATGCGTCTAACATCGTAGACAGTATCACAGTACATTATGCGACTACAAGCCCTTAGAGCTTTTACACAAGAGCCAGAGATGTGCCTCTATGCTTTTAGAATGCAGATTGCCTGTTTGTTCGTGAACTTTGTAGTTTTACTGCAAGTTTTACATCCAAACACACCAAATATGTGATCATGCCGCAACTGGAAAACAAACCGCATGCTTAATGTGATGGTACACTTGCTTTTTGTTGTCTTGTGGTTTGGGACTGGGTTAAATAGTGCTTTGCAAAAGCATCAATCCCTCTTTAATAACCCACTTAATACATAAAAATATTTTTTAAAAAGTTCATGATTTTTGACAAGTGAATGGAACATCTCTTAAAATTCTTGATTTGTGCTTTATTTTGTATTATTTGCAGTGTGAATCATAATTACTAGCAAACAAGTTTTTGTGATACTGGAACTCCTGCAGTGCTGCAGATGCTGCTGTGGTGATCATGCAGATTAGCCAGGATGAAGGTAAAATTTTGCCAGTTAATTCAAACTCCAGCTCTTGCCTCTGGTCAGAAAGCTATAGGAAATGATGAAAGAATCACATTTTGAATGCAAGTAGCTAAGATGAGCTTTATCTGTGAGAGGGAGGGGTGAAGCACTTGGATTTTTTAATATACCTCTTTGTAAAAGCTCAAAGTAATGTCACTGGATCCCTACATCAAAATGAACTATGAAGTGGTTTGTGCATTTTTTATGTTGATTTGTGGACATTTTCATTGAAAGATGTTTTGAACCTCTTAATTAAATTTTTGAGATATTAAGGATTTATCAATCAAGTTTATATCACTGTTTTTTTATTCAGTGTTTTTTCCAACTAATAATAACATTAAAGATATACTGTAAAGTTACAAAAATAATAAAATCCTGTAAATTCACATAGGAAGGTAACAGCTGTTTTATTAAATTGTTCACAGATTTAGACACATTGCTTGTAAATGATGAAATCTAAATCAAATTGTAAATTGAAATGTTTTCTTCTGGGTGAGTTATTGATTTGTAAGTATGCGGTGTAGGATTTGTTGAAATATGACAGAGCTGCAAATGCCTAATTGAAATGCCATCAATACTGTTCTGAATCCCGTTTTGCTCCTTGCTGTGTATTCTCTCCACGTAAGCTTTCATTTCTAAGCAACATGACTTTTCCAGCTGCTTCAGTAGTTTAGTGGGTGGACTGTTGGACAATGGCGGCTAGCCCATAAAAGCTTCTACTTTTCAGTTAAAAAGAGAATAGAGGCTGAGCTTCCAAATACACTTATAAATGGAAATCATTTCTAAAAAACATTCTAATATAACAAATAAGCTTTTTAACGTATAACTTAAATATAATCATTTGTTGTAGATATATTGTTACCAGAACATAAATATAAAAAAAGCGTAGTTCAGGTATATAAATGACTTTATTTTGGTAGTATGTCATATTCCTGTTTGAAACACATAACAGTAATGTATACTGATGTCTGCTGCATGACTGATGACTATTTACATGAAGCATACGAGCATATTAAGTCATCTATATTTATGTAGAATGAGTCAGTGGGAGGTGCATCTGCTTCCTAAAGGAGCGCTTCACTTCAAAGACGAATATTTTAACCACTATCATAGGGTGGAGAGTTGGGAGTATGGGTAACCATAAGAAATGAGATTCAGATTACATCCACACATCTTACTATAACATCAATGAATAAAGTTATCTAGAAATATTTTTATGGAGGTTGGGTTTATTCTTCTTCATGCATAGAAGACAATTTCTCCGTCATATTGCAATCTAGTATCAGTAATAGGTTCACACAGTGTTTTATTCCACTCAGTTACAAACCATTGCCAGTTCATGTTCTGTTCATTTCTGCTCTCTCCTCTGTCTGTGTCTCTCTATATGTTGTATCAGCAGAGTAAATATGCCAGTTGGACTCAGAGTTTAAAGGTCCGGCATGGACCTCACAGAGACAGGGTGGGGAGCTGTGGGCTAAATGTCATTTTCAGTCAGGCCAACGCAGTTCACGGCTAGAGGGGAGGTCACAAGGTCTGATGAAAACAAATCCATCATTTTGCTGCTCAGGTAACAGACCAGAGAGCTGAGGAGGAGACAGGGTAACAGCAGAGCCATAGAGGTAGATGGAAAGATGGATGGGACTCATCAGGAGTTATGCTTCTCTTGTGGAGGGATTATTCTTAGCAATGCTTAGCTGGTCACAGATGGGAGTGGGCTCATGATGATTAAAGTTGGGGGGTCAAAAAAGAGGGAGATTCAGTCTCAAGTCCATATGATCATAATTCCATCTGATCCCCAATCTGCCAAACACTTCAAGATCACATCTTACACTGATCTTTTTGTAAAAAATGCATCGTCTCCCATAGGCCACAGTCAGACAACTTTACCTTAATGAATAATGATAATACGTCATGTTTCATATTTGAATTTTTCCAAAATATTACTATATAAAATGCATATTCTTGTACCCCTGGCTGGACCTAATTATTAAAAAAGTTTAATAGGCTAGTGTCTAAATATGATTTTCATTGTACTTCTTGTTACGAGCAGATTGCTCTTCCCTACTTTTAATCCTTATTCAGAAACTCAACATTTTCATAAACGGCAAACTGCAAAATCTAATCGTGTGCATACCATTTAAATTGTATAGCACAATGACATCAAATATTTATTTATTCTGAGAGAAAAACATCTTCATTCTCCTGTCTGATTGGAAGAGAGTGCTGACTCCATCAA